GACGGGGTCATTCCATAGGAATGGGATCATCAAAAAACTTGGATTTGGAATCTCCTCATATCTGCCACTCAGCAGAGCTGGCGTTGTGGGGAATTTTGATTTGAACATTTGAACACAAGCAGGCCAAGACTTCTAATTACAAGCTTCAAGGTATCATTATTAAATATAGCTATTCTAATTTAAATCAAAATTCTGTCTTTCATACAATTAATCAGGGATGGTGAAGAAGTCCATGACATTGACAGCAATATGAACAAATGCTATGGACATTCACCTATGAGGGAGCAACTTGGGAGATGCTCTTGGAACAGATTGCCAATTCCTTATCCCACATGTCTTCAGAATCATACAATAGAGATGGAATCATACCATGAGTATGGAACCATACCATACCATGGGCATGGAATCATACCATGGGGGTGGAATCATACCATACCATGGAAATGGAATCATACCATGGGGGTGGAATCATACCATACCATGGAAATGGAATCATACCATGAGCATGGAATCATACCATACCATGGGAATGGGATCATACCATGGGAATGGAATCATACCATACCATACAGAGATTTGCTTACAACACCCCATACCATGGTATTGCACCCCCATACCATGCCATGGTATTGCACCCTTATACCATACCATGGTACTCCACTCCCATACCATACCATGTTGTTTGATGTTTGAGGTGCTGTTCTCAGGATCCAGTGTGAATTTCTAAATATGGAAGGTGTGGCTATGTTCAATGAAAAAGAGATTGATGGGATAGATGCTTAAAATATTACAGGAACCATAATCTATGCAGAGGAAGGCAGAAAACCCTCATTTCGAAGTTTGTTTACATATATTTACCAATAGCTTTAACCAAAGTAAGGCTACAAAAATTGTAGTGTCCGCTTTTTTCATTAGAAAAGACAAGCTTAGTTAGAAAACTTTGTAGTGTGCGCTTTGATGTGCGCACTATTTCCTAATTGGGCCATTTCCTAATTGGGAAAAGCGTTACACTTTTTTCTGCCACACCTAATGTCAGGCACAGTGCGCATTTAGGTTGGGAACTGTTTCCCACGCTCTTTGGGCCACAAGAGTTAGTGGCTAGCTTAGTGTTGTCATTGTTAATGATGATGTGTGCACTATTTCTTAATTGGGCCATTTCCTAATCAGGAAAAGCGTTACACTTTTTTCTGCCACACCTAATGTCAGGCACAGTGCGCATTTAGGTTGGGAACTGTTTCCCACGCTCTTTGGGCCACAAGAGTTAGTGGCTAGCTTAGTGTTGTCATTGTTAATGACGATGTGCGCACTATTTCCTAATTGGGCCATTTCCTAATCAGGAAAAGCGTTACACTTTTTTCTGCCACACCTAATGTCAGGCACAGTGCGCATTTAGGTTGGGAACTGTTTCCCACGCTCTTTGGGCCACAAGAGTTAGTGGCTAGCTTAGTGTTGTCATTGTTCATGACGATGTTCGCATATTTCCCAATTGGGAAAGTCATTACATAATACCACTTCAGTTTGTAGTCTCCGCTTTTTTAGACTACAAA